GTCAAACTCTATTCACCAAAATTCAAATAAACAACGTGAATTATGTTTATGCTCTTTATATTTTAATTCACTATTTACAAAGACAAATCGAACAAAATACTATATATACAAATAAAGATATCGAAAAAAATAAAAATAAACATAGAACATAAACTAATTAATCGCGGCTCACAAAAAAATTCGATTTGGTTTCTTTTGTTTGGTGTTTTGTTCATTAAAGCAAGAATTGATGTCCCGTTGAAGATTCTCCTCTCCCTCTCTCTATATCTCTCTCTCTAATTGAAGATCCACAACACAGAAGGCTCCACCGACTGAACCGAAGGCTTGGTGCTTTGGCGAATTTGAATATGCACTACATACCTACAAATATATAATGTAATTTAGTAATTACTTAATAAAATTGAAGATAAATCCATATTCTAAATGTTAACATCATCTATAAGCAACTTATTTATATCAGAACGAATATCTATTTTAACGAATTTATATAGGGGTTGTGAAAAATAAAATTCATTGGATAATTGAATTGGACTCGGATCATAATTTTCAAATTGAATTTGACTAGAATTTATATTATTTGGAAAGAAGATAATTAAAAGTCAAAGAATGAATTTATTAGTTGAATTAATGCAACTAATAAAAAAATAAAAAAAAGATAAAGTAGACATTATAAAATTTTTAAAAGATAAGTAAAAAAATTAAATTTTTTTATCTTAAGTCATTTTTAATAAATAAGAAAATTAAAATTTTTTCACTTAAATTATTTTTATTAATAATATTGATTTGAACAAATATAAGCCGCCTGCGTTCTTTTCGCTCCTTCATTGAAAAAACCCTTTTCCCTCTTCTTTGTCTCTTGCCGAATATGTTCTCCCTCCCATTTCCATCTGATTTCTTCATTTCTTTTCGTGACTCACCCCCCATAGACGTGAACACCAACCACTGAGCCCTAAAAATCCATAGCTATCGAAGAATCCCTAAAAAGTGACCCAAGCATTCCCTCCCTCTCTCTCTCTCTCGGCGTTTTGGTAGCGTGACGTTTCAGTGTATCGAGTGAAGATGCTTGGTGATTGATCGAAGTTGCCACCTTGGTGATTCATCAAAGTTGCTTTGGATTCAAATGTTCGAGTGAAGAGATAAAATCTTCGGTGTTTCGAGTGAAGTTGCTTCGGATTCATAAGGTAGGAAATTTGTTCGTTGAATTTATCAGAAATTTCGGCGAACATATAATGTATTCTCTTTTTAATATTCTGAATATTGAAAAATTTTCACTTCCAGTTGGTATTGAAAATTATTAGGTGAGGACTATATGTTCAGACTATGGTGCGGTTTGTATCCGCAGAGATGGCCAAGATGTTGACAAAATAATTTCTGTTGATGACATTTTGATCGAATACAAGGTAACACAAGTTTCAATTGCTACTATGCCCTTTTGAGTTCTTTTGCTTTGCACGTTGGCCAAGTTTTCTTTTGGTCATTTATATTTTGTCTCAAAATAAAGAATATCTTCCCGGGGTCTTTCCATTTTCTTCGAGAAGTCTTATTCAAGGGTTTTTGAATTTCGGACTTCATAATTAATGTCTCTGCATTGGAAAGGGTTGGTACTAGACCTTTCCTGGTTTAATCCCAAGAGGAAAAAAATTGGAATTGTTTGAAATCCTTAAAATTCTGATCTTTGCACTGGATGAGGAGCCTCCCCAAGTAATTTAAACATCATCAGAGATTCGATTCATATATGTTCCAAAGTTCTTGGCTTACTTTTGTTTTTGCTGGGTGTATCCTTGCAGGGTAACATCAAAGTTGTGGATGAACTAGTACCAAATGGACTCAGTTCAACTCGGTTAAGGTAAATAGTTTCCTGTTGTTTACACTTGGGAGAGGAAAATGGATAAAGTTAAGAGGTAATTTAATCGACGAATCTAACTGGGTTCAATTCTTATATTTTATATTTATCAGGGATTGCATATCCAAAGGTTTGTCAGTGAAATATTTGACAGCAGATGAAGTAATTGATTACATTAAACAACGCGATCTGTACTTGAATTCCATGGAACAACGATGATCTCCCAAGTTATTGTCTTGGAATTCCATTTTGAGATTCCACTTGTATATTTTTGAAACCCTACCAAAATGTTAACCAGTGACATGTTTATAGTAAGATGAGGAGTTGTATTATGATTATCAAGTTCTGTTCTGCTCCTTAGGATTCTAACCTGTCCACAATGTCTTGTTTTTCCAAAAGAAAAAAAATTAGCCAGATTTGCAGTACTAAAATAGTTCGTTAAAGCCCCGACTTTGCAAGATCTGTATCATGACATGTCCATCTTGATGCCCTGATTTTTGTTGGCTTTCCTCCATTTTCTTTGTTGCCACCCATCACTTTTTGATCTCTTTTATGTATATCCTTTTTTCTTTGACTTCACTACTTTTATTTGGTGTGTGACAGAGCTGAGCTTGAAAGGAGAGAAGAGTGTTATGATGTGATCATAGGGGACTTGGCAGACCCAATCGAAGGAGGCCTGTGTATTTTTTTCTTTTTTGTAACAGGATTTCTTAATTAAAGTGACTTACGAATTATCTGTTGGTTATGTATTAAAATATTTTGGGAAACTTGTACGTAGATTACGTTGTTGGATATTTTTGAAAATTTTCATAGTTTTTATGGTTATTTGTTATTCATGTTGTACTGTACATTTGTGATTCAATTTCGAATTTGGGGTTCATTTTTTGGGTAGGTAAGCGAAAGAAGTATGTGATGCGATTGTGGCAAAATGCCTGACGGGTCCGGCCCAAGGCAGTGGAGAAGGTGCAGGCAGTGTTTATGCTCTGGGTAGAGCTGGAGGCTGTTGAGGTTTTCCTGGTATGTGTTAATTTTCATAATTTAGTGTGTTTTCAACACTGCAATTCAGTATGAGAACAATGTGATTGTGTATTCCGTGAATGTAGTTTATTTTACTTACTGGCGACTGAATTGTGCTAAAACATGTAGGGGAACTTACACTTGCTTCTGCAGTTTTAATTTAGGTGTGTGGATGACATGACTAAGGAAGTTTTGGTGCTCAGAATTTTCCTTGCTTTCTATAGTACTCTGATAGTGATCATATATGTGGTATTTTGTGCTTGCCATGGTAGTACACAATGTGATACTGCAAGTTCTCCTGTACTGATTACTGAAGGAGCTATCGTGACCATTGTCCCTTTGGAATTGGCTAGTATAAATAACAATGATGCTGAAATAACCATTAAAACAGTATTTCTTGGGAAAAAGTTTCATGCTCTAGCCAAATGAACAAATGAAATGACATTTGTAATAAAATTAGTGAGAAGATTATCCCTGATAATAGAATTTCATTCTTGGTTTCTTATTCCTGTCTGGGCCTAATCAATCACAGAAGAAATGGCAATCTCCTTGCTTGTGGGATAGAGATTGGGCTTTTGATTTAATAATGAACTTTACATGGCGTATACATTTGAATGATATCCTTTGTGCAATATGCATGATGTTGGATGCTTGGTTGAATGTTTAAATTCTATTCTGTCTGCTTAGTTGAAAAGAGTCTTCTTAGTTGAACGTTTAAATTCTATTCTGTCTAATCACATCTGATGAATCTGTCTTTCCATTGTTGATATTATTCTATTACTTATTCTGTTGTGCATCACCTGCTCTCTCTCTCTGTGCATCTTAGGCTCTTAGCTGCTTCCAACCAGTTTCATTTAACTACCCATTTTGGGATAATGCTAACATGTTGATAACTCTGATCAGTTAAGGATGTTTGATTTAACGGTATGTTTAATGATGTAAGTTGCTTCATGTGCATAGTGTTTACTGAGAGTCAGATGGATAGACATCCAATTTTTTTTTTTTTTAAGTAAAGAGAGAATTTTATTTATTGAAATCCAAAAATTACAAAAAGCAAAAAACAGAAACTGTTAAGCAAAACAGTAAACTATACAAAAATCAAAAAATCTATTAAAATCCTGTACTGCAACTGTTTTTTGGCCCTTCAGCACAGCTCCTGCCTTGACTGATCAACATGCAACTCAGCTCCTGCACTATAGCTCAGCAAATCTGAAGCTTAAGCTCAGTACACTGTTTTTTTAAAAAATCTGCTATAGAGCTGCTCCGTTTGCTCCTCCTCTCTTCAGGTTTCAACACCTCTAATCAGTACCCAAGAAACCTTGACTCATCAGCATAAACCAGCACTATCTGTACAAGCTGACTTAGCCTTTATCATCAAAAATGACTACAGTTTTTACTCGAAAGGCAGGCAATCTGCTTCGGTCCTGCAGCAGCAACATCTTGATCATATTCAGCAGCACAGCAGCTCCTAAAAAATCAGAAGAAAACTGGTCCTTGACAGCCCTGTTCGCCAAAGCATCCGCAACCCATTTGCTTCTCTGTATACATGAAACAAATCGCAAGGAGCACCTGCAATTCTGCTTATTAAAGGCCCACTCCCTAACCAATTATCAGACCAAAAGTCTATCTTTGCACCATTACCTACCAAATATTTCAATTGACACACCACCTTTTCAAAAAAGGGACTCAAAGCATTGAAACACTTAGAATGACTCCTACCCATACATCTCATCAAGTGCCTCCCCTTAAGAAACTTGGAAGAAAACACTCTAGCCCACAAAGAATCCCCCTCCATCAACCTCCATACTTGCTTCATACGAAAAGCATCTTGCACATCCTCCAACTTTCTTAATCCCAAACCACCCTCAGACTTGGGCAAAGTCACCTTAGCCCAAGACACCCAATGTCTCTTCCTATTATCCAACTTGTTTGACCAAATGAAAGCATCCATCATGGAGTTCATACGAGCCAAAATAGTCTTAGGTAAGTTCACACAAGCCAATAAATGAATAGGAATAGAACTCAGCACTGCCTGCACCAAAAGAACTCTACCAATATTAGAAAGCAACTTAGAATGCCATCCCTCCATTCTTTGACGAAATTTCACTAATATCTCCTCAAAGTACCTGATAGACATCCAATGCCCCAGAAACTTGCTGGTGCAATTGGCCCCACGGACTGGAATGAAGCTCTGGATGTTATTGTTAGTGGTTCTCCTGAGCAGGTTTGCCTTTTGCCTAATGTTGTTTGTAAGGGATTATAAAGAATATAATGAAAATTAACATTTATCATTGTCAGGTCTTGTATTTTAGGTTAATATTGTGTAGTGATGTGACTTTACATTTAGAAACATGAATGCAAATTAGAACTATGGAAGACAGGGTATGCAAATTAGAACAATAGTTCGCAGGATCACTCTCACAACAACATTTGCTTTTAACTATGATGTTTTGATGCTGTCAGTAACTTTAGTCAGATCTGACAGAAAGTCTTTCAGGTTCAGTGGTTTTCTGCTATTTTGACAGATTGCTGCTGCTCTAAATTCTGTTTGTTGTTGAGTTAGATTTCAGGAGCTGAATTCTGAAGTGCAGCTTTTGTAAGAATGAGTGCATGTTTAGCAGTCTGTACTATTGCAGTAGGTGCAGTGCTGATGAGTAGCAGGTGAAGCTGGACTGCTGTAGATATGCTGAGATGGAATGATGTTCAGATGGTACTGATCTGTTGAGCTTGGAGATGGTATTTCAAGGCATGGAGCTGGATTGTTGTTCAAGTTTAAGAGACATTAAATATAATTAGAGATGGTTTAAATCTTCCTGAAGGATTAAAGCCATTTTTCCTATTTTTAGAACTTGTTCTTTGATTCTTGTAATTAATTCTTTTTGGAATAAAATTTTGTTTTTAAAAAGATGTGAAATGTATGTTGAATGGAAAAGATGTGAAATGTATTGTGGTAGTTTTTTATTGAACACAGGTATTATTGGTGTACAGGTGAAATTTTTTTATTGGAATATCATTTTTTATGAATTATTTTTTCAAAAAAATGGTTTTTTTTTGCGACGAAATTCGCAAAAAATTGCAGGAATAATTTTTTTCATGATGTTTTTTATACGTCGCAAATGTATTTATTCAATTATTGTGTACATTTTTTATTTATGTAAAAAATTATTTGCGACTTTTTTTTTACGTTGCGAAATATTAATTCAATTATTATTTATATTTTTTATTTATGTAAAAACCTATTTGCGACGATTATTTTACGTCGCAAAAAATTAATTAAATTATTATTTATTATATTTTTTTATGTAAAAAAATATTTGCGACGATTTTTTTATGTTGCGAAAAATTAATTTAATTATTATTTTTTACATTTTTATTTATGTAAAAAATTATTCGTGACGATTTTTTTACGTCGCAAAAAATTAATTAAACTATTATTTTTTAATTTTTTATTTATGTAAAAAATTATTCGCGACGAATTTTTTACGTCGCTAAAAATTAATTAAATTATTATTTTTATTTTTTTAAGTTGGTGGAATAGATTTTAGCTAAGTTTTTTGAAATTTTTGCGACTTTTTTTCGTTGCAAATTTTTTTTTTTTGCGATGAAAATAAATTTGCGTCGTAAAATATTTTCTGCAATGAGGCTATTGCGACGAACATGCGACGAAAAAAAAATTACAAAAAATAATTGGCGATGATTTTTTTTTTTAATTTAGTGACAAAAAAAATCGTCGCAAAAAACGATTTTTGTTGTAGTGTGAGATGGAGATGAGGATGGGCACCAAGGAGCTGGGCGCCTGGTGGTCCCCTGTTGCTGGGCGCCAAGTGCTGGTTGCCTGAGGTTGGGCGCTTGAGGTTGGATGCTTGGTAAAAGGGGGCAAGACTCATCATTTAGGTGACATCATGGGAGGCTCCCCTATATGAAGAGGGCGAGACCTCTCGTCTAGGCGGCATCACGGGAGACTCCCGAGGTGGAGGGGGCGAGACCTCTATTCTAGACGGCAACATGGGAGGCGCCCAGGGTGGAGAAGACGCCTTTTTGTCTACCTTGTTGTTAGGTCATGTTCTATAATCTATTTGTAAATTTTAGGAAAGCAAAACAATTCTGGATATAATAATCTTCGCAGAATTTTATTTCATAAAATAACAGAAAACAAAATAAATCAACTGATAGATAGAGTCTTTTGATGTTCGGTGTCCCATAGTCTAGTCAAGGCTTTCTTGGCGAAATTTGAATCAACTCCTCCACTTGATCCTTAGGAGATCGTCTGGATTTTTCCGAGGGGTTGTTGGCATTCTCTGTCGTTTTGGTCCTAGTCAGGTGGCGGGGCTTGTCCTCTACCAGCAACGTACTGCCTTAACTTGCCACGTTGTATGAGCTCCTCGATCTGCTTTTTAAGATCAAAGTAATCATCAGTATCATGGCCGTGGTCGTGGTGGAAACGATAGTACCTGCTAGAATTTCTGCGATTTGGGACAGACTTCATTTTTTCTGGCCAGCAGAGCGTGGGGTCATCCTATATCTGGAATAGGATGTGTTCCACCGAGGCGTTGAGTGGCGTGAAAGATTGTCGTTCTCTCGGGGCTACGGGACCGAGATGGTCCTTGACTGAGACTCTCTCGGTTCTCTTTCTCTTATTCTCCGCCTCCCATTTGTCTTCGCGGGTGTCCTTCCTTTTCTCTCCTCCTCAGAAGGACTCACCTCTACGAGCCTTGGCGACGTCCTCGGTGTTCATGTACTTTTGTGCCCTTGACAGCAACTCGAGCATGCCGGATGATGGCTTCTTGAAGACGGAGAACATAAAACTGGAAAGTGCAAAGACCGGCGATAAAGGCGGCCAGGGTTACCTTATCATCTGGCTTCTCAACCTGGAGAATATCCTTATTGAAAGGGCAAAGTAGTCTCTAAGGCTTTCATCCCTGTCCTACTTGATAGTGATTAGGTGGGTCATTGATTTTTGATGCCGGCATCCCCTAATAAAGTGGGAGACGAAAGACCTACTTAGCTCTGCGAAAGAGCAAATGAAGGAGGGCCAGAGCTTGGAGAACCATTGGCGGGAAGACCGCTTCAAGGTGGTAGGGAAAGCTCTGCACATAATCTCTTTAGGCACGTTGTGGAGTTGCATAAGAGACTTATATGTGTCAAGATGGTCGAAGGGGTCCTTGGTGCCATCGCAGATCTCGATGGTGGGCATCTTGAATTTCGATGGTAGAGGATAATTGATAATATCAGCAATAAATAACGTATCAGTGCGTCTTATCAAGTAGTCCATGATTTTGGGTACATGTGCTTTGATGGCGTTGAGGGCATCACCAAGTTGGATTTGTAACTCCCTAATCTTCTCGTCCTAGTGATTGGGGACATCCTCAGTTGGGTGATGGTACTGGTTCTCATAGTCTCTATATTGGCTTTCTCCATCTTTGTTCTCCTGCGTAAGTACGTGTAGAAGGAGAACACGTGAGCTCCCTGCGCGCTGAGGAGGGAGTGATGGGCGAGGGGCTCCCTTATGTGGTCTTGGGGCGTTCTGGCGAGGGGCCCCATGGTGAGAGGCTGCCTGGTTCCCAAAAAGGATGGGTTGCTATTCCTCTCCTGTTGGAGGGAGTGAGGCTCTTCCTATAGGGTGAGGGGCGGCGCCTCCCTAGGCAAACATCAACTGAATGATCTACTGATTTTGCTTTACCAGCAGTTGCATAGTTTGTACGAGTTGTTGTCTGACGACGGGAGTTACCATAGCAGATGGTTTTGATGGTGCGAGGGGAGGCAGAGCCTTTTCCCGGTGGGCCGGGTTGTTGTCTCCTTGATCTGGTCATGATTGTCATGGATTAAGAGAGTAGAAAACTAGTCATTTTTCATAGACGACGCCAAACTGATGATGCACAAATTGGCTTTGCGCAAGATCAACAATCAAGAATATGTAAGGAGTGTAATTAATGAGCAATTAACAAGTAATCAATGACAATCAAGAGCAAAAGCGGTAAATAAAGAATCAACACCAAGATCTATAGTTGTTTGGCTCGGGTGACCTACTCCACTCTCGGGAACTGCAGCGATGGTCGGAGATTTTTATTGATGAATAAGAGTCATCGGGAGAGTATTCTCCTGGGGAATTACAATGCTTTGGGAGAGAGGATCAATATGTGTAGAGAGGTGTGTAGAGGTTTTTAGGTGATGCCCTTTATGTGGAGAGGGCTTACATTAAATAGGCTTGGTAAGGCGGTGAGGCGGTGACGTGAGGAAGATGACTTCTACTATTTTGGTAAGTATAAATAAGGTAAGATTAGATCTCCGAGCGTATCCCGATATTCTCTCCCTTATGCTCCAATTTCGTCGGAGGAAGATCCTGAGCTGAGTTGGACTTGAGTTGGTGGGTGTTGGACTTGAATTGGAGTCATAGAGTCACAAGGGAGAAGGACTCCACGAGGTTGCACACTAGAGGGAGCATAGGACAAAGGAGGGAGAGGATTGCCTTTGGGGTAGCCATTGGGCGGCGCCCCTTGGGTAGCCCCTCTTGGGCGGAGCCCCTTGGGGTGTCCCCTTGAGGGTGTTCCCCTTGGACTCCTACTTGACCTTGTCTTTCCCTTAACTTGAACTCCTTCTTGATTTATTGACTTGGGTTTCGAGGTGACGTTAGCCTCTCTTGATTAATTGGGCCTAACCCAGTTACTTTTGGGCTCATCAATATCTTTTATTGTGTGGACAAACCTACAACCAAAATGAAACAAAAATATAAGTCATTCAAAATTAAGAAAATGGAAAATCTGATGTTTATTGGCATACAAATCAAACCAAAAAAAAAAAAAAAAGCAACAAAGACTATAAATTTATTAGACAAATATTTTAAGCAACAATGCTACCAATGTAAATATACATAAGCGGAGAGGAATTACAAAGAACAAAGAAAAACAAAGCCAGTTAAGGAACATAGAAAAACAATTCACCCAAAATTCACTAAAAATAAAAAGCAAACATCAATGACTTATTAAATTCACTAAGACAATCAAAAATAAGAACATGATTAGACCATTCAATGAACACCAAAATAAACATAAGAACATGATTACACTATTTAATTTGTTAGAGATAATTCTTATTATTAGAGTTTTAATGGATATTAGATATATTTTGTTATTATTAGATATATATAGTCGTCTAAGAGAGAGTTATATGGGAGATAAGAGAGAGTGTATTTAAAATATGTGAGAGATAGGAGAGGGAGTATGAGATAGAGAGTTATATAAGAAATGAGAGTGTTAGAGTTGTAAAAAGAATAAAAGGCTAATTAGGGAGAGAGAGTTATACATTATTATGAGATAAGGAAAGAGAGTTAGATGAGAGATACAACTTTTAGAAAAAATTCGCATGAAAATCGTTGGAATAATTATCGTCAAGCGATCTAAAATGCGAAAAGTTAAAGACAAACTTTTTAACTACTTTATTATATAGAGGCCATGGTGCATAACTTCCATGATTGATATACATGTGAGAGAGAGATAAATAGTTCTAATTTATATATGAATATAGATAAATATGAGAGAGAAATAATTTTAATATTGGTCAAATTCCTAAAATTTAAGAGTTGTTAGTTTTCAAATTTGTTTTAATTTAATATAATTACTGAGGATATTTTAGACAATAAAGAACAAAATAAACTTATTCCCAAATAAATTTTTTTGAGGTAATTTAAGTTTAAATAAATCTATAAAAGGGTACCGGCCACCAAAATTTCCTACTTTTAAATTTGTTCTTCTCGGTGGGCTATGTCAGTGGGGGTTAAATAACTCAGAAACCTTCATGTGGCGGTTTGGGCAGGGCCACCCAACATTTGGGTCAGCCCATATATTACAAGACAAAATCTTGGATGACTAATAAAATAGTGACATGTGACACACTAGGCTTCTCACGTGATAATTACGAGTAAGAACAGAGGCATCATTTGGTAATGATGTAATGTTTTTGTAAATACGTTTTTGCTTTTTTTAAGTCACATTTGTTTTTGTATTTTTTTTTTTTTGCTTTATCTTCCCATCCTCTAACCTTAATCACATGAATCGTTTTATTTGAAAATGCGTTATTTGTATACTAAAATAATCTAGATCACTTTTGTGAAACAATAATTATAAATGCTTTTACTTTTTTGACAAATTTACTTTGTTACTTAATATTTACATTAAAAAGTATTACCAAACAAACACTTGTACATAAGAAATGTGAAGTCATATATGAAAAGCCACCCGACTATCATCCTAACTTAAAATTTTTGCAACTTATGTAAACTAGGTTTGACTATTCGCATATTGGAATCATATCCTGATCTTACTGACAAACGTGATGAAAATGGTATGACTGTTTTGAGTTTGTTGGCTACAAAATCATTTTATTTCAGAAGCAAGTCAGCGTATGTGTTGAAGGACTTGAGCAGGACACCCTTCGTTCTTTTGCAGATGCTTGAAGTTGTGGTATATAAGTGTAAGCGTTATGCCATTATATTGTTGTAGCAACCATTGAAGCATTTTGAGGATATAATTGAAAATATAAATTGATAGATTTTTTCTCGTAAACAATCAAATAACAAAGAACTAAAATTGGCATAAGACTTGAGGTTTCCAATTTTGGTTTTCTGTTTTTTGTTTTTCTTGATGAAATTAATAACTTTTTCATATGAAGTTACATCTAGTCTAGGAATTGACCAACATGAAATGAGGGTAAAGCTACCATTTAGCTCTTCCAAACCCGCAATATGCAGGATATTTGTACATTGGTTCTAAATATGACATTTTATATGAAGTTTTCACACATTGGATCTTCAAAATGAAAGTTGATTCCTTCATTTTACTACTGAAACTCGAGATAAATATACAGTTGGACATACCGTTACAGAGTATTAGTTGTTTTTTTTTTTTCAATATGCCATATTAGTTTACATAAATAGTTATTGTGCTAAATGATTTTGAGGCAGTCATCCTATGCAAACAATGCAAAAAATCAGGTATGTACCCAATTGATCCCTCCAGGAGCCTATTAGTGGGAACTAAACGGAGTCTTATTTATTTTGTTTTTCACAATAGAATTCTGATTTTGGTCTTTAATTTTTGTCAAACAAAACAAAAATTAAGGTAACGTTTGATAAAACTTCTCTTCAATATTATTATCATATCTTTTTTCTTTTTAAAGATTTTTTTGAGTAAATTGTTTTTTTTTATCTTATTAAGATTCATATCACTTTTAAAAAATACTAGGCAAACTTGTTTTTTCGTTTTCTTGACGAAATTATTTATTTTTAAGCAAAAACACTCAAAACAATTATGGAATCAATTCTACTTCTCTGAGTTTGTTGAAATATAGTGCCAATTTTTTCTTTATCTTTTTGATTTGGTAGAAAAACCTACTTGTTGTAAAACATTTATAGAATGATCTACTTGATTAGAAATTCTTTTTAAGTTTTGCGGTGAAGAAAATTCTAGTGAATTCCTTCTTGTGTGGTTGAGCAGTAATAAAAACAAGGATTGACGAGAAAGTTTCAGAGTCACAAGTGGCTGGTGATGTAGAGGATCCAGCATCTGATAACAGAGTTGGTATCTCAAGGGTAGAAATGCCATTTTTCATCAGAGTTATCGTAGGTGGGGGTACCTCTTCTTATTCTTATTTTTCTTCTTCTTGTTTTTGTTATCCATTGAAAAATTTACATACTATTCACCCTCTCCTTTTCAATTGTAGTATCTCAAGTGTTTTGCCTCTCAAGGATTTTAGATTTTTTTTGTATTTTCTCAAAGATAAAAGATTTCGCATTAACTCTTTAATTTATCAAAAGCGTAGAAATGTGCCACCGGTAGTATTTGTTATGCCATTTCTAAAGATATCACAACGTCATTTGACACCTTGAAAGATATTAGCAATGAAACTTTGCCTCATAAATATTTAATAATGTCAGACCAAATGCATGACACATGATTTTTCAACATACACAAATGACACATTGTATGCAAATTGGGACATATATTTAGCGTTTAAAGAAATTCAAGTCCAATACGAGACTTTTAATCTTTAGGGAAAGAGCCAAAATTTTATGATTTTTAGTGATAAAGTGTTATTGTTTATCCTAATATTCTCCTTATATAACTATTGCTACAATTGTCCCTCTTCTATTAGGTTACTGGTTTTTCGGAAAAATTTATGATGCAAAGCAGAAACATGAAGTTGTCATAAAGCTGGCACAGAAATTGACAGAAAAAGAACATTGGAGTCATTACATTTACTGTGAAAATATAGATTCTGCAGTCAGCTCATTTGGGATTTCTTCAAGGAAGAAGAATAAAGTACCCAACCCGCTCATACAGGCAACAACGTTTGGCATTCTTGAGTTGGTAATGGCGATCCTCCAGAAATATCCCTTGGCTGCAGAATCCTTTGACGAGAATGGAAGGAATATATTGCATATAGCGGTGGAGCAGAAGCATAGATTTCTTTATCAATACTTGATGAATTCTTTAGTTTAGAAAGATAGGATGCTGGCGGATATTGATAACCGAGGGAGCACCATCTTGCACCTCGCAACGTGTGTCAAAAATCATGTCTTAATGAAGCAGGGAAGTGTTGAAATGGCAATCCAGATGAGTTGGGATGTGCTTTGGTTCAAGATACTAAAGCAATTTTGAAAATATCTTGTGTGTGTTTGTGTGTTATATCAGTTTTTGAAGCCCCATATTTGTTGCGATCAATTTTTCATATAACAACTATAACAAATTAGACCCTCAAACTAAGTACAAATAGCATTTTGTATTAATAACTAATTTGATGCCTCCCTAACCCTTTTTCATTTTTTCCACAGAGCGTAAAGCGCGACTCTTATCCACACTTACATCACCTTCGAAATATGGATGGAAAGACAGCAGAGGAACTATTTGAAGAAAATCACTCATCTCTTCGAGACGAAGCAGAGAAAGCTGCAAAACACGTGAGTGCTAACTTAATTATCGCTGCCACCCTCATATGCACAATTATTTTCGCAGCACTTTTCACTGTCCCAGGTGGCTTCAATCAGAATACCGGGGACCCCATGCTCCTCTTTGATCATCGACAGGAAATGCAGTTCTTCATGGCTTACATAGGGTTAGCTTTGTTCTTTGCCTTTCTTTCTTTGACAACCCTCCTTCTAACACAAGTATCGCGGTTCAACACTAATGATTTTCACATTGCATTTCCAGTAAAAGCCATAGTATCCACCCTCACCATTATTTACTCCACCGGCTTGACAGCCACCGCTTATTTGCAAGGCTATATACTTGAAAGCCACCCGGGGACCTTCATAGCCACCTTTGTGATCTTTTTCATGTTCGTTGTTTGGTTTGTGTTTGCCCTTGTAATGGTAGACACCACGTTCTCAATTTTCGATTACATGTACTATGCACTTCTCCATTTGATTGCTTATAAAAGTCGGGGCATATAGAATTTGATTATTGAGATTTGTATTGTATAATATAATCTTTGTATTCAAGAGAATTACAACAAATGAATTAAGAGTTTTGTTAGAATATTACAAAACAATTTACATAAGAAAGAGTGCTTTTGCCGAATTAAAGTTAGGTTTTGGTTCAATTCCCAAATTAATGTGGTTGGGAAAAATAATTCATTCCCATGTTATTTTAGATGCTACATGTTAGATGTCATGTGAGCCAATATGTTTGGAAAGTTCCGAAAAGTTATATGTTTAGAAAATTGACTTGAATTAATAGATGGCTTTCTTTTGATTAGGGCTACAACCGAGTTCTATGATTTTTTGAATTGTGTTATTTTGTATTTGTGTCGATTATTAGTCAATTTTAATCTTGTTGGACCCAACAGTTACACAAAACAGTTTCTTAAGTGTAAAAACTGAAATTTTTATTAACTTTGAGCCTAAATTAAAGTGGAATCCGTTCATTGTTTCGAATAAACTTTCGTGAGTTTGTATTTTACTCCGTGTGGAGAATAATGTAGTATTTGCTTGCTCAACTTGAGTACGAAATGAATGAGAAAATAGACTTCAAAGTGATCCTTTTGAAATGTAAAAATAGAGGTTGTGCAATGTGGGTTTTGACAAGTTTGCTCTATGGGATTGAGCCCTAAGAAGTACCACAATTTTATGAGCGGAGCGAGTGCCTACATACCTTCGGTTCTACTGCCCGTCTCGTCACGGCCTGGGCGGGCTTGGGTGTGGGTGGACCAAGCCTTATTTTTTGGATAAAATTTATTGGGCGAGAATTTCTGAACCAAAATTTAATTTTTTGGTACTCGTTGGATCGCACTAGTTTGGATGTGTTGCTTCTCTCCAGTCCGAAATTGAGTTATGACTATTCATAGAGAACAGTTACAAGTGGTGTCTACTGGTTTGTATTTATCTTCTTGGGTTGTGTCTCTTAGTATGACGGAAAATACTAAGGAATGGTGCGTGGACACCAACGTCACTAGACACATATGTTTGGATAAGAAGATGTTATCTTCATATGAAGCAATTAATGATGAAGAACAACTCTTGATGGGAAATTCCTCTACTTCCAAGGTTGAAGGCAAAGGAAAGGTTATATTGAGCATGACTTTTGGAAAAGAACTTACTCTCAATAATGTGTTACATGTTTCAAAAATTCAAAAGAATCTTGTAGGCAAGGGATATATTGGTTTTTGAGTCTGAAAAATTTCTACTCACAAAGAATGGGATTTATGTAGGTAAGGGACATATTAGCAATGAGATCTTTAAGATGAATTTAATGACAATTGTATCTGATTTTAATAATAAAAACACATCTTCTACTTATATGTTTGAGTCTTCCAATGTATGGCATGGTAGGTTAGAAAATATTAATTTTGATGCTTTGTGTAAATTAATGAATAAGAATTGTTGCCTAAATTCAATATTGATGCAAGTTATAAATGTGAGACATGTGTTGAATCAAAATTAACTAGAGCATCATTTCAGAATATTGAAAGAAGTAATGAACCTCTAGAGTTAATTCATAGTGATACATGTGATTTGAAATATGTTCAAACTAGAGGTGGAAAGAAGTACTTTGTTATTTTTATTGATGATGACACAAGATATTGCTATGTATATTTGCTAAGGAGTAAAGATGAAATATTGGAAAAATTTATGCATTATAAGAATGGGCTTGAGAATCAACTTGGTAAAAAGATTAAAGCAATAAGAAGTGATTGAGGTGGTGAATATGACACACCTTTCAATAGATTATGTCAAGAACAAAATTTTTGTGTCTTATACACCTCAACAAAATGGGATTGTTGAACGTAAAAATAGAACTTTAAAAGAGATGATGAATGTCATGTTGATTAGTTCAGGATTACCTCCGAACTTGTGGGGGGAAGCTTTGTTTTCAGCAAACTATATTTTAAATAAATTATCCCATAAGAAGTTAGACAAAACCCCTTGTAAATTATGAAAAGGTTAGAGTTCTTACTATAAATATTTAAAAGTGTGAGAGTGTTTGGCTAAGGTAATGGTTCTTATTCCCAAAAGGATTAAAATAGGACCTAAGACTGTTGATTGTATATTTATTGATTATGCAATAAATAGCAGTGCATATCGTTTTCTTGTGCATAAATCTAATATTCCTGATATACATGTCAATACAATCATTGAGTCAAGAAATGCATCATTCTTTAACAATGTATTTCCTAGTAAAAATGCATGTGATGAGAGTTATCTTAAAACAACTCATGATACTACGACTAGTAATATAGACCATGAGCTTATAGATGGAAAAAGTGAAGATAAGCCTCAAAGCTTCAATGAAGCGATGTTCACTCTTGAACCACCTATGTGGAAAGAAGTTGTAAATATTGAAATTGTATCCATTATGCAAAATCACACTTGGGAGTTGATAGATCTTCCTTCAGGGAGTAAACTATTGGAGTTTAAATGGATTTTCAAGAGGAAAATGAAAACTGATAGATCAATTGATAAGTACAAGGCTAGACTTGTGGCTAAAGGCTACAAACAAAAGGAAGGTCTCAATTACTTTGATACATATTCTCCTATCACGAGAGTAACATCTATTCGTATGCTCATAACTATTGCAGCGTTGCATAATCTTGAGATATACCAAATAGATGTGAAAATAACTTTCCTAAATAGTGACTTAAATGAGGAAATTTATATGGACCAACCCAAAGGGTTTGTTTCTCCGGGACAAGAGAAAAAAGTGTGTAGACTTGTTAAATCAGTTTATGGTTTTAAAACAAGCACCAAAACAATGGCATGAGAAATTTAACAAAGTAATGATGTCAAATGGTTTCACAATTAATGAATGTGATAAATGTGTCTATGTCAAAGACATAAATAATGGATATGTCATTGTTTGACTATATGTGGATGATATGCTTATTTTTAAGTAATAATAATATTATTATTACAGCTACCAAGAAAATGTTGTCTAGTAAATTTGACATGAAGAATTTGAGTGTTGCAGATGTTATACTAGAAATTAAAATTTCTAGAACATCTGGTGGACTTATATTATCTCAATCACATTATATTGAAAAAATACTTGAAAAGTTTGACAAAGATGAAAGCAGTATTGCTAGAATACCAGTTGATATAAATCTTCATTTATCTAAAAATACTGACCAAAACATATCACAATTGGAATAATCTCGTATCATTGACAGTCTAATGTATGTCATGAACTACATTAGACCGGATATGACATACTCAATTAGTTAGTTATGTAGATATACGAGTAATCCGGGAGTAGATCATTGGAAGACAATTATCAAGGTTCTTAAATACTTAAAATATACCTTGAATTTTAGATTGCACTATTCAAGATATCCGACTATACTTGAAGGGTAAAATGATGCAAATTGGATATCTGACATGAAGGATACAAAATCCATAAATTGTTATATTTTTACACTTGGTGGTGCAGTTGTATCTTAAAAATCCTCTAAGCAAACGTGTATTTTCAAATATACAATGGAATTTGAATTTATTGTTTTAGATAAAGTAGGGGAGGAAGTTGAGTGACTTCATCAATTTCTAGAGGATATTCCAATATGGCCTAAACCTGTGCTAGCAATTTGCATACATTGCAATAGCATATCTATAATTGGTAGGACATAGATTGACATGTATAACGATCAGTCTAGACATATATGTCGTAGACATAATACCGTTAGACAATTGCTTTCAAATAGAATTATTTTTATTGTTTATATAAAATCAAAGGATAATCTTGCGGATCCGTTTACTAAAGGTTTGACGAGAGGGCAAGTAAAGTGCACATCAAGGGGAATATGACTAAAGCCTATGACACAAGAGTCACCTTAATGACAACCTAACCTAGTTGATTGAAGATCCCAAGAAGTAGGTTCAAAGGGACAACCGAATTATACGTGATTCAAAAGAAGCACTAAGGAGATGATCTCTACTACCTATGCCTTTCATAAACTAGTGTTGCCTGCAGAGTTTATTAGGGTAAGCTATACTTTTAATGACTCTTATATCTTGAAAAATTCAAGTGAGATATTGTAGGATATTTCTAATATCAGTCACCTATATAGGTGTGAAGGGGCCGCTTCCATGAGAATTTATAAAGGCTGAATTCTCCAAAGCACTCATGAAAATCAGGAGTTGTTCAAGGCCAAAATGAACACAATAATCAGAACCGATTGTGTTAGGAAAGAGACTGTGTGAAGTCTATTCGATCTGATTTATCAAATAACAGAATAGTTTAAGACATCACGTTCACTATTTAGCCGGTAAGTCCGATGGATTTTCACTAGGGAAGGTTCAAGGCCAAAAGCTACATATCTCGATACATGATCTTTCCAAAGATGTACTCTCTATAGTCTGTCAGCATTATTATTTGCATACTAACAACCAATTTTCCATTTATGTGGGGGATTGTTACACAAAACAGTTGCATAAGTGTAAAAATTGAAGTTTTGGTCAGCTTTGATCCTAAATTAAAGTGGGACCCGTTCGTTGTTTCTATTAAACTTTCATGGGTTCGTATTCTATTCAATGAGGAGAATAATGTAGTATATTCACTTGCTCAAATCGAGTAATAAATGAATGAGAAAATAGGCTCAAAATTGACCTTCTTTAAATGTTAAAATAGAGGTTGTGCAATGTAGATTTTGACACTAATCTCACATTAGTTGAGGAAAAAATTCTACATAGGCATATATAGGCCAAGTTTGTTCTATGGGATGGGACCCCAAGGGGTACCACAATTTTATGAGTGAAACGAGTGCCTACATGTCTTCAGTTCTACCACACGCGCGGTGCCCACTCGCCTCGCCATGACTCTACCCGACCCGGCCGGGCTCGGGTGTGGATGTGGGTGGACCAAGCCCTTCTTTTTGGAGAAAATTAATTGGGCGAGAATTTCAAAACCAAAATTTAATTTTTTGGAACCCGTTTGAATGTGTTCCCTCTAGTCCAAAATTGAG